CTAAAATTATTTTACTGTTAAAAAAAATTGGGAATAAACTACAGACTTTTTGTTTGCAGGCAGCACTCTAACCATCCAAGCACACCCTCTTATCTTCTTATATCTTYTGATTTTTATTTCCTTGATTTTTAGATTACAACAAAATGACCAAATTAAGCAGCAAGTTACTGATGCTGGTGTCGGGAGAGTCAGGGGATACRGCACAGTTTTCAGAATATATTGAAAAAAACGTTCAGCTTTACAAAATGAGAAATGGTTTGTGACAATCTTTACTTAAGTGTATAGGATAATCTTTCCCTGCTAACAGAGGCTCATTTTCATTTTCTTTTGCTGCATCGACCTTCGTCTCAGGAAAAAAGGAGTTTCTGCCAGCAGGGAAACTAAAAGTTTGATGTTTGGGCTAAACTGCAGAATATCCCCAGCACTWTTGCTTCATCTGTGTAGTAAACCATAATTTTTTTCTTTTGGTACCGAAATTGAATTTATTCATGTGGGATTCCTTTGGATTTGACATGAAAATGGTACAATGCTCCCCCCTCCACCCTCCCTCATAATTGAGACTTCATTATGCCCCTGGTTTGCACCCTAATACGCAGGAATACTTAGCACCTGTAGCACAGTTGCCAGAGTTTCCCCCTCCTCCTCCTCCTCCTCCTCCTCCTCCTCCTCCTCCTCCTCCTTTTTCCAGAGGTATTCTGCAGCTCTCTGATGTTTAAATCAGGAGTCGTATGATTTTCAGGGTATGAACTGACACCACATGCTGCTACAAACTATGTACGAAGATTCCTAGCTGAATCCCTGAGGAGTTCGGTAAGTTGTAAGTTGAAGAGGGTTTTGTAACATTCCCTTCTTCTATTATTGTGCAATGCCAGAAAATATCAACACTTTCCCCATGGAGGGGGAATGGAATTTCTAAGGGATGCGTAGAGTCTAAGGAGGGTTATTCTGTGTATTTTAATTTTCATAAGATATGCCTMTTTCTTATATTGAAATTTTCAAGGGGTGGGGAGTGTATATAATTTATTTCAAGAATATATCCATTCCTCTCCCCAATGGAGAGAATTTTCAACAAATGAGGAGGTTTCAGTCTTATGTTAAAGAAGGACYCTTCTCAAAATTATCATGAATGCAAGGCCAATATGAAAACACAAAAGAAATCACAATTTTTCTTATGGAATATTGGCATTTATATCATATTTTCATATTACATGTAGCCTCACATACTACAGTAGATAATTTTGAGAAGAGTACGTTGACTAAATCTTAATCAATCAACTGTTTCCTGTTTGTTTTCATCAGACTCCTTACTCCGTCAATCTTCTAATTGCTGGCTATGGTGATGATGGCCCAGAACTGTACCACATGGACTATCTTGCCGCTATGTCAAAGGTAATGCAAAAATAAAACCAGAAACATGAAGTTGTATGTTTCTTGTATGTTTATCAGTAACCCTAAGTTACTGACACAATATAATCATCATCAGGCAACATCTTCATCATCATCATCTATCATCATCATCATCACTGATAAAGCACTTTTATGTTTTTTTACTTTTGAAATCATGTACTATGCACTTTCTCACCCTTAAAAGGAATCAAAAGTCCCCCATCACCCCACCCCCTCCCCAACCCACCTTCACACCAGTTAATGTCTAACCTTTCTCTGTTTAAAGGTAGAGCTCAGTCTCATCATTTTCTTTTCAGGTTCCCTTTGGAGCTCATGGTTATGGTTCWTTCTTTGCTCTCAGTGTAATGGACAGATACTACAAACCAAGTAAGGCTTAGGAAACTTATTGCAATAAAATAAGCCACCGGAAAAGCTGAAAAGCTACACAGCTGAGACTGGCAAGGATTATGGGGAAATAGAGGTTACGTATTTCAACAGCTTGATCACTATTGATGGACTTGGGATCTTTTACCAGTTACAGTTTCACCTCCTGTGAGCCTCCTCAAGCTACATCAAAAACCTTTACTCATTAGATATGAATATGTTTCCCATTATCCTCAAATGTTTCAGCTTTCTACATTTTTGGTAGCTAACGTTTTTGAAATATATAAATATATTGAAGCTTCATACATGGAGCATTACTTCTAAAAGCCTTTCCTCAGTAGTGCTTACTTCTGATTGGCTGAAGTTGGAATGCTTTCATTTACTTCTGCATTGTGATTGGTTAGCCTTGTAAGAGTGCTYCTGGTGAAAGTGTTTAGACATTAATTGTTTTCAAGGTGAAAAGAATTTATAAATTGTTTCTTTTTTTACTACTTTCAGATATAAACCGTGAAGAAGCCATGGAATTACTCAAGAAAGTCACAACTGAGGTGAATTAATGATCCTAAATCAACAGCATTGGCAATTATTATTTTTTTTTTTTTTCAAATTTTTTAACTGTTTGATTTTTTTTCAGGTCCAAAAAAGATTCATCGTCAGTCTTCCAAACTTTGTAGTGAGAATCGTTGACAAGGATGGAATCCAYGATATTTCTGTTCCTGCAAAAAATTGATGGCATAGAAATTTTTTGTTATTATCACGTGCAATATACTCTATTCTCCATGCTGTATTATTATGACTAGGGTTCTACTTACTAACTATTAAACATTAACAATTATAACTTAAAATTTGCTGATTTTTTTAGTTTTCAAGGGCCATTAGAAAGTTAGGCTCTATTTACTTGGGAGGGAGAATCATCATCAAAATAGGTTATTCAATTCTGCAAATCAGCCTACCAGATATATGTTTATCACTTTCCAGTTACATGCACATTRGCAGGCTTCTTTTGGGTACTAGGATCTTCGTGTCTCGCAGATAATAGGATCCTACTAGAACTGCTGCACAAAGGGTAGAGTTACAAAGGGTACACCTCATTCCCCATTTAAACTGAATGGATGACTGATTCTCCTACAAAAAATTTTCCTAGTCATAGCTCTCCATAAAGTTTAGCTAGTGTATACAACTGGGACAATTGGGGAGCAACTKTAAAGCAGCAAAATAAGTCAAAAGTATATCAGGAGAGCGTTGGTAGCACTGAGTTGATTAAAATRGTCTACAAGAGCAACACACAATACTGACATAATACAGTAAAGAGATAYGACAAATACAATAGATTTTCTTTATCATGTCAAACCTTGGTTAACATAAGGAACAAAACTGTCTATCCAATATCCATTCACATATTCAACCATCTATCCACCCATTCATTCATGCCATTTTTATAAATTTATTTTCAGGTTTGAACTTTCTGTTTTCACAGGAGGAAAATATTAATCAGAAATAAATAATATATAAATATGGATTAAACCAGAGCATAAATCATCAGTTCAAGTACTGTCACCCGGCTGGAGACATGCACAAGTACACATTTTTTCTAAGCTTTGTTCAGTACCGTGCAATTAAATATTTTAAATAAATGAAAATTGCTACTGATATCCATTTATCTTTAATAGTTTTATTGACTTAAATGCCAAACACGTTCAGGACAATCAAGTCTATTTTAATATAGAGTTCGTCTCAATCTCGATTCTTGCCACTTCACCGTTCCTTGAMTGACGTCAAGCCTTTCGAGTGCTTTGCAGCTGMATGAATGCGGAAAAYCGTTCCAGAAAGATCTTWTATCACRAAWYAMCAAGCCARAATTAACTCCTGAARCTCTGTTTTAAACAACAACAAACAACAGGTTAGCTCTTATGGTTAGTTATTAACTTTTAGCAATAATAAGCCTATATTTTTTCTGAAATTTGACTAAATTACAAACTCCATTGGCTTCGAAAATTTAGAATCTCGTTTAAGACAAACTTGGAACTTCAGTTAGTGGAAAAATTCTTGTTAATTAATGATGAGGGATGGCTAAAATAGGAATGGCTAAAATCTAAACGTATACAAACAAAAGAATATTTGTCTTTGATGGGAAAGTTTGCAAAAGTTTTTTAAAATGCAATCTGATGTAGAGAAATGCCGACAAAAACACGGTACATGTTTGCCGTTGGCGGGAAGAAAAAGCTTTGATCTAAAATTCTATGTAGTTGCATCTAAATCTTTTAGGAGTTTATGAGCGACGACAGGTGTTTTGTGGTCAGAATTCTGAGTAACTTTTAAGCTAGAGGACTACATTTAGTACAATAGTGATCCAACRATTTACTTCGACGAGAAGCTAGAGACATTCAGAAGTAATAAGTTTTTCCTTGTCAACGAGCAGGCTAGTTGCATAGTGCGTTTTCTATGGCTCTATCATGATAAGCTTATGGATTTTTTTAAACTACCGTTTTTAATTATGACATTCGTCATTTTTGTATTAAACTTTAACGAGTCTGGGTCGAAAAAAAGTCATAGTTACTAATGCTAAGTTTTTATATACAGAAGTAAAGAAAATCCTACTAGATTCAAAGTCTAGCTATTTTTATCTATTTCTAGCTATTTTTATCAAACTGGAAATATGACTAAAATTGGTATTACAATATTAGATATTATAATTTCGTCACTGATGAAAGACTTCTATTTTAGTTTTGATCTTTTGCTCGGTGAATTCCGTTTCATTTTAATGTATTTTTCAGTGTTACAAGRTTTCACAGTTTTTGCTTGTTTTATTTTGGTGGGCCCTTTTGATTAGATAATGATTAAAGTAAAAGGAGAAAAATAATTGAACTTAATCGCAAGGAGCGCAGAGCATGCCCCATGGGAGGGGGGCTAAAAAGGCTTTACGACATATATTTTATTGGGGGAGGGGAGTGTGAGGCTCTGCGCTTCCTGAAATATTTGATGCAGCATCGGGTAAGCTTTCTTTCTTCTTTTCT